TAAAGTTTAACTTATAAGTTTTGCCCACTCTTGGCCAGCATTTTTCATAGCTGCTCAACGGAAACCACGGGAACGTGGTAGGCGTATTCCGTCAGGAAAACACTAAAAGAAAAAAATGTTTTGATAATATGAAAAAAATTCTAGCCGCAAACTAATTGATCGTTAGCGATTAGATTTTTTGTAATTTTCGAAACCATTTTCTTCTCTCAGTGTTGGAAGGAAAGAAAATTAAGGAATGGGAAGGAATGGCGGGAAATATTGGGAAGATAAGAAAATTGCATGCACAACAACATAGAAACTCCATGCCCCGATTATTAATAAGCCATGCACCATACGTCATGCAATAAAAAATTATTAATGCGAAAAGTGGGACTCCATGGTAGCTGATAATTTTTCTAAATCCGGTGAATAATTACTTATTGCAATTAATATTGAATCTTTGAGAGTCGAGTCCGATAAAATTGTGCGATTTGACGATTTAATGTGGTTCATATGTGAAAATCCCGACTCACATAAATATGAGATACCGAACGAACAGGCAATAGCACATATAAAAACAATTCAACGGAAAATATTATCGGACTCGCCAAATAATTCTATTGAAATTCTATTAGATTTCTATAAAAATTATATAAGTTTGTGATTAAATTCTTTTAGAAGTTTTTTTCAATAGAAATATTCAACAGAAAGCACTGGATTTGAAACGAATTGGATTTTTCCTTACAATTTAATCTATTTTACACATAAAGTTCCCATTTTTTGCCGATATATGAGCCAAAAAAGGCAACTTAAAACGATTTTACCATGAAAATTCTGCAAGGAAATTTCCCTCGAATGATTTGTATGAACAAATTCTTTCAAGTTAATTTTTTCTATGAATCTATTTATTCTTTCAATATTCATATTGGAACAAATCCCAAATAATGGTCGGCCAAACACTAATGGAATTTTCATAGGAATCCATTAGAATTTCATTAAAATAAAAAACTAGGATTGTTTATTCGATTTTTTCATCTGTGATCATTTTTCAATTATCTTTGCTCGGTCACTCTCTGCAACTAATAATTTTGATTTTTTTCTGCAGTAATTATTCATTTTCGTGGTTAACTGGAAATGGATGAATTTTCTAAGATTTAACAGTGGGATCGATATAATGAAAAAAAGTCAAGAGATGAAATGATCAAATTTCTTGTTTCCGTGCTTTTTTAAGGTCAAAAATCTTTTAAATCTAAGTAAGACTGTCATTTGCTGAACATTTAATTCCTGAAATGCGGAAAACACAATTAAATTTTTTAAATACTGCTTAGGGAATGTTCAAACAATATTAACAAAAATTAAAAAATCTTTTCGCCAGTATTTTTCAATTCATTTGCTGCCGAAATATTCAATTTGGAGTGATTTATTTAACGGAATTTTATGCGGAAGTTGATATAGAAAAAAATGAACAATTGATATTTTTTAACAATGCAAAATATATCAAGAAAAATATTCATATTTTTCTTTTAAAAATTCAAATTTTGTGCGTGTTGACTGACATAACGATACCCCCACTCTGACCCAAGCATTGGGTCTCGCCACTCCGACTACCTGCACAATACAACAGCACCCCTTTTTTATAGTCATTGGCCTAATTGGGGTCGGGAGCTCGGTGAGCTCGGAGAGCTCACTTTGCCCAGGTCTGCTCTAGAGGATGACTGTATTGCACGAGACCTTGGATGAACTCCTCTAGACCAGGCCTGGGCGAAGTGAGACTCTATACTATCTTATGCCACATCTTGCAGAAGTCGAGTTTGAAGCACGCTGCGCGAAGCGCAGCGTGCGATAAACTCGTCTTATTGCACGGCGTGCCATAAACATGTTTGATTGGCGGAATTATATTTTTTTCTCAGTGTGCGCGAAATTGATTCATTCTTCCGTTTTGATGTTTCATTTATCATTTACTTTCATAAATCTCTTAAATTTTAATTTCTTTAATTTTTTTTCGCAAATGGAATAAATTTCATTCTCTTTCATTTCTTGGTATGAGAATCCGAGATCATTCTACGATTTTCTAGAAAATGCGAGAAAAATCTGTTTTATATGATACGTGCGTGTAAACGAATGGGTTTCAGTTGACTATAGTCAACTGGAAAGTAGCGGGTTTCAAGCGCCTACCCACACTCAACTGAAACCTGAAATAACGCATGACGCGCATGCGCATCACCTATTAAAAGAGAATAACAAGGAAGGAAATCTAACCTTCGAATAGTGAATACATGGAATGACTGAAAAATAAAAAGGTGATTTTCGAAGCAGATAAAATGAGCCAAAATCGTATAATTCCTGATAGTGATGAAGAGTTAGGCAGTGAGGAGAATTTATTTACTGATGAGGAGGAGTTTATTGGTGATGTGACATTTGAAGAAAATGGAAATAAAATATTCTCCAATGAAGCAACAGCAGGATCGCCAAAAACTCCGCAGAAGAGAATCCGTTATGATGATTTTGATAACAACAACAAAAATCTTCCATCAGATATTTTAGCAAATGCCCAAAAGGCCAAAAATCAGACGCTACCAACAGCTTCTATAGAAAAATATAACGTTTTGTATCATATTTTTTTATAATTATAACTTTTTTTTTTTGCGAATTCTTAATGATTTTTAAAAATTGTATTTTGTAATTATTATAATTAATTTTTTTCAATTAAAAATACTTTACGTTTTTTGAACTACATATTTAATGAATATAATTAATTTTTTCTTCAGAAGTTCCGCCTAATTTTTAAATCACACTTTTTTATAATTATTTTTTTAACTAAATGTGATCCTTTTTCTTAAGTTCAACCCCCCCCCC